CTTGTATTTATAGAAAAATAGGTTCTCACATCAAAAATATCTGTAAAGAGACAATTGGTGCAAGGCATGCACATAGGGACAACTGGCTGTTGCAAAATATCTACCTGCGCTAAACATGGTCAGCCGGCCATGAAGGGGAACAGTCGGCCAATCAAAAATGGCCTATTGGCCACTTGTTGGCCAACTCTTCTCTGAGTGGTTAGGCTAGAAAAAATAAGGTTTTGGTTCAAAATGGGTGCAAGGTTTAGGTTTTAAAGCTTGAAAACGAAGCCTTTTGCTGAAGAAATTGAATGATTGCATAGCGTAACATTTCATCATTGAGTATTTAGCGTAAGGCACCCTAGTTTTGAGGATGGTCAAAATAGGGTGTCTACAGCTTAGCATCTTACCATGAGGCTACATGCTTACTTGAAATACACTGTTTGAATGCTGGTGGATAAAAGTTATTTTACTTGCATTAGGGATGATGTTGATTAAATGTAGGTATGAGCTCATTACTTTCCTTTTGAGTTGTGTACACTCAAAAACCCTTTCAAAAATCACATAAAATCAAGTCATTTCCAAAGCAAGTGAAATAGTCTATACTTGTGTGTCTCATATAGTAAGTTAGCATATTAATAATCATAAAATGAGCATATAATGTTGATAAAATTCACATCATGATTAGTAGAGACAGATTTTTGATCGGGTGAGGAGGGTGCTCAATTCATGACCTTCTTTTCTCATACCTAAGTTCCTAAACCAAGACAAATTTGGTTATGACGGATAAGTGGCCTTTGGCATGAGGCACGGGTTTCCTAAATTTTTCAAAAATATTTAGATGGCGACTCTAAAATCTGGCAATACAGTCCATTTCTAGCATCTCTGATGATTAATGAATTTTTTAGAATTTTTCAGATTTGGACTCTCATTTGTTTTCTGTTTTACATTGCACTTGTGGATCCAGATTCAGAACCACGGGAGTCCAAACTGTAGGGCTATCATATTTGAGGAGACTAAACCCTTCTGCGGAGCACGAAAAGCCGGCTATACTCATTTGTTTCATTCTTCACTCCTTGGGTTCTGATTCCAAGATGTCGATCTTTAGTGGGATGACTGCTTCGATACTACATGCCATGGAAAAAGGAGATTCTCCAGTAAATCTTCTCGGCGTAGTCCGATATGCCCATAGGACATTAGGCAATTCCTCCACCCACTTGCCCTTAGCAGCTTCTAGCCTTTTTTTGATTCTATCCAAGATGGTCTTGTTGGATGCCTTTGCTTGTCCATTGCTCTAGGGGAAGCTAAGAGTAAAATAATAGTTCTTGATCTTGTATTTCTCACAAAAATTTTTGATTAACTTGCTGTTGAATTAAGTGTCATTATCTGCTACTATGGCTCTTGGGATTCCAAATCTGGTAATTATATTTTTCCAGATGAAATTCTTCACGTCCACATCTCGAATTTTGGCTAGGGGTTCAGCCTCTACCCACTTCGTGAAGTAGTAAATTGCTACTAGTAGGAATTTCCTCTGTCCAGTTGCCCAATCAAATCCATGCCCTACTGGGCAAATGGCCAAGGGCTGGACACTGGATTCAGATCTGTAGCTGGTTGGTGTATCAAAGGTGCAAAATTTTGACACTTCTCGCATTTTTTCACATAAGCTTAAGCATCTTTTTTCATGTAGGGCCACCAGTATCCCTGAGATATAGCCCTGTAGCATGGCTTCCGCATGCTCCCTTATGGGTACAAAAAGTCCTCTACCTGGGATGGGTGCACACATCGCAGAAGGGGTCTAATGACGGATTACTTGTGCAAATGGCCTTTTGCTGATAGACAGAACCTGGCAGACTTCAATCTGATCTTATGTGTTTCCTTTCTGTCTTCTGGCAGCCTACTATCCCTGAGGAACACAACTATGGCGTCCATCCAGCTTGGACCCACCTCCACATATATTGCTTCATACTCTGTTATTAGGGGCTCTATACTTGGGCCTAACAAATAATCCACCATTATTGTCCTTGTCTTACCTAATTTCATCGCACTAGCGAGGTTTATCATCGCTGCTAACCTGTTGTAGCCGGCAGCTTTGGAAATGTGTCAACAACTTGACGACCTCCTTGACATAGGCTATCATCCTCTCATCCCAGGCTACGTACTCGCTCGTTGCTTGATTTACAATGAGCTAGGAGTCACAGAAGACTACCATCTCGTCGGCTTCCATAGCTACTGCAAGTTTCAGTCCAACAATCCGAGCCTCGTACTCTGCTTTGTTATTTGAGGCCTTGAAACTTAACGGATAGACTGTTCTATCATTCGCCCATATGGGGATACCAAAACCACTCCTACCACCGCTCCTTGTCGGTTTGAGCTGTCATCGACAAAGAGGTAGAAGGAATCACCGATGTAAATATCGCATGGTTTTAGCCTTTCTTCTCCCTTGTTTTACTCTACTAGCTTGGGGTTTTGTGGCCCTAGTTGGTTTTCCTCTTCCTCTCTTGGACATCCTACACCTCGGCTCGCCGATGTCTACCTTGGGATCGTGCAAGAGAGAATTCTGCCATAAAGTCAGCCAAAACTTGGCCCTTGATTACTGTTCTCAGCCTGAATTGTAAATAATACTGACCTAGAACTATTACCCATCAAGCTACTTTGCCTGTCAGGTCTCCATGCTGCAACATGGACTTCAGCAAATGCTCGGTTAGCACCACAATCTTGTGGGCTTGAAAGTAGTGATTCAATTTTTTCGAGGCCATTACCAGAGCTAATGTTAACTTCTCCAAAGGCAGATACCAGGGTTTTTGTACTTGCCTGGGTCTTGCTTACATAATACGCTGCTTTCTGCTCACATTCTTCTTCTCGGATGACCACTGCACTCACGGTGTGGTCTGAAACTGCCAGGTACAAGATCAATTCTTCTCCTGGTACTGAGTTTGACAACACTGGTGGAGTTGTTAGGTATTTCTTCAAGTTGGCCATGGCGACTTCACATTCTTCTGTCCACAAAAAGTTTGTGGCTTTCTTCAATAAGCCAAAAAACTATTTGCATTTATCTGAACTTTAACTAATGAACCTGTTCAGGGCTGCTACCCTTCTAATCAAAATCTAGATTTGTTTGTCTGTGATCGAGCTCTTCACGTCAAGGATGGCCTTGATCTGATTTGGGCTCGCTTCAATACCCCTCTTGGTAACCAACTACCCCAGGAACTTACCGGGATCCAACTCCAAATGAGCACGTCGAGGCATTAAGTCGAAGCCGATATGTTTTCAATATGTCAAAGACCTTCTTTAGGTCGGCCAAAAGGTTCCCAGGTTCCTTGGTTTTAATAACCACATCGTCTATGCAGACCTCTACTGTCCTCCCAATCTAATGTTTCAACATCTTGGTGACTAGTCTTTGGTATGTAGCTCCTGCAAACTTCAACCCAAAAGGCATTACTCTGTAGCAATAAAGTCATTTAGAAGTGATGAATGCTGTCTTTTCTTCATCTGGTGCATACATTGTTATCTAGTGATAACCTTTGTATGCGTCCAGAAAACTCATCCTCTCATGCCCGATGTGGCATCTACCAGCTGATCAATCTTGGACAGTGGGAAACTATCCTTGGGGCAAGCCTTATTCAAGCTTGTGAAGTCCACGCAGACCCTTCACTTTCCATTTTTCTTCTTTACCACCACTGTATTGGACACATTGTTACCTAGTGATAACCTTTGTATGCTTCCAGAAAACTCATCCTCTCATGGCCCGATGTGGTATCTACCAGCTGATCAATCTTGGGCAGTGGGAAACTATCCTTGGGGCAAGCCTTGTTCAAGCTTGTGAAGTCCACGCAGACCCTCCACTTTCTATTTTTCTTCTTTACCACCACTGTATTGGACAACCAAGTAAGATAATTTATTTCTTTGATGGCTTGTGCCTCTAGTACTACTTCTTCCTCAACTGCTTGCACATGTATCAATGTCAGCTTCCTTGCTCTCTAGATGACTAGTTTAGTCGACTTGTCCACATTAAGTCTATGACAGGTGACCTCGAGGCTGATCCCCGGCATCTCATACGGTGTCCAAGAAAACACCTCTATGTTTTCCTATAAGAAAGCCTCCAGTTCTCTTTCTTCTTCCTCGACTTAGCCAGAGCCGAGAAAGAAGAATCGTTCATCATTACCTTCTTGCACCAAAACCTTTTTCAAAGGTTCTTCGCTCTTGTCGATAGGCTTTTTGCCGACATCCAAGACCTCGTGGTTTTCTCTCTCAATCTCCGTACTTTCTGCTTCCCTTACATTACAGGTGTACTTCATTGCGGCCATGGAACAATTTTTCACTTGTATTTGGTCTCCTCGTACCTCTTCAATCCCCTATTCTATTGGGAATCGCAACAATTGGTGCAGCGTTGAGGGAATAGCCCTCATTACATGCAACCAAGGTCATTCCAAAATGATATTGTATGTGAAGGGAGTATCTATCACAGTAAACTCCATTATTACCTTCTTACTCCCTGCCTGCACGTCTAGATTCGTGGCTCCAAGAGGCCATGTTGGTGTCCTATTGAATCTGATCATAGGGTTGTCAGATTGCTCTAAATCATCCTGGTAGAGGCCAAGCTCCTTGTAATATCTGACATACATGATGTCACAAGAGCTGCCCTGATCAATCAGTATGCGCCTCACATGGCAATCTCCAATCTTCAAAGTTACTACCAGGGCATCATTATGCAGATGTTGCACCATATCCAAGTCTGTCTCAGTAAAAGAAATCATCGGTCCCTGATATTCATTTGTTCTAGACTTCTTCTGTTGGACCTGATATACATGCTACAGATGCCTTACTCTCTGGGTCTCCCCTCAAACTTCATTCTCATTGACCTTAGAGTGAATCACATTGATTACCTGAGGTCCTTCTGCCTACTGTAGTGGTGGTGGTGGTGGTGGTGTTAGTAGTGGTGGAGGTGGTGCTGCTGATTCCTGGAGCAGCCTCGCATGCTCTTCCCTTGTCTTCTCCTCATCGACTACGTCTCTCAGGTGTCCCTATCTGACTAGATCCTCTAGGTGTGACTTTAGAGCCCTGCATCCCTGAGTCATGTGCCCATCCTTGTTATGGTAAGCACAATGCTTCCTAGTGCTCCTGCCCATGAACTCATCAGGGACCTTCTTCAACGCTCTATAGTATGGTTGGTTTCTGATCCTCTCCAGAACCATATAGATTGGAATCCAGAATATCCTGTTGAATGTCAGCATAGCCCTCACTCTTGTTTGTGACCTGTCAACGCCCGTATTACCTCGACCTCGCTTTGGCGAGCCATTTCTCATTTCTGGTTTTGGTGTCTTCTTTTCTTTTATGTCTTCCTCCGCTTTGACATATTTCTCAACCCGTGCCATGAACTCTTTTATGCTCTTCGGTAAGGTTTTTGCAAGTGATTGTCGAAGCGGGCAATCATCATCCAGGTCGTTCTTGAAAGAAATGACCGCCAACGCCTAGTTACAAGTTGGGATCCGGTTGTAAACCTCATAGTATCTCTTGGCGTAAGCCCTGAACCCTTCGCCGTTGCTAATCTTTAAAGCTAATAAGGAGTCTACCCTTAGTGGCTGCAACTTGTTTGTAACAAACCTGGCCACAAACATCTTAGCCAAGCCTTTCTAACTCTTTACACTTTCTTTTAGCAACTTATAGAACTAATCCAATGTTATCTTCCTGAACGACGATGGGAGTATCTTGCACAACAGTTGCTTGTTCTCGCTCCACAGAGCCATTGAATTCAAATACAAACTAACATGAAAGTTTGGATCAGACTTACCGTCGTAGATTTGAAACCTTGGCATGTTGAATCTCTTTGGCACCTCAAATGTATCCAACTCCATCGAGAATGGTGTCTTCGACTGGACGTTAGATGTGATCTCAACTTTGAGTCTCTTTCTTTGGAGGTAATTTTTCAGGTCCTCCTTCGTTTTACCAGGAGCTTAGCTATCAATAGACTTCAGTCTCTTTGGCGTGCTACTTCCGATGTAGTTGTGCGTTCTCTTGGACTTCCCTTCATCCACTGCATCAAAACAGAGGTCTTTCCCTTGGATTTTCCGAGATCCCTTGACATAGGTCCCCTTGGTTCGTGGTGTCCTCTGTGACTCACCTTACACTAACTCTATTCGCCCGACATCCCATGACGGCCGATGTGAGTCTTCCTATCCCTTGCCATGCTGTTGGACAATTAGGACTGTCCTCTATCCTCCTTTCTAGGCATCAGTTTTGGCTACTAGTGCCGGTGTGTCCTGCAACGGGAACGATTGTTGCATTACATTGTTTTGCATCATGAAGTTGACCACTGTTTGTAGGTTTGTCAACTTGTTCGCCATGTCCTTCATCTTCTTATCCCTTCTCAGGCATCTATCATTCCATACTTGGAGATTGCTTTCACTGTAATACTCATCTCGGCCTTCCTTCTTTGTGTCATTGCGCCCTTTGTTGTCACGCTCCGTATTTTATTACTCGGATAACATTACCAAAATTCATTAACTAAGTTCATTTACAATAGACAATTCATCCTTGGATGAAATGATGAATAATTAAATATACAAGCTCCTTCTTATGATACAACAATGACATTTACATACGAATAAAAGAAATGCTCTGAGGCATACAATAAAAGAGATGACACTACTCTTTATAAAAAGATAGCACTCAGCCAAACAAACAAATGAAATAGTACAATCCATCACTACATTACGCTTATGAAATGGTAAAACCCATTGTTTGATCTTCAAATCTGAAAAGTATTCCCTGTGCACATGTACAGGCAAGGGGTGAGCAACAACTAGCTTACCAAACAATCTCATATTATAACATTAGAAGATATGCATGTACAAAGATACTCATACATATACGTAAAATTATATCATGTCAAAACCATATAATTCTATTACATAATCTCTGAAACTCAATTTATTTAATTAACCACAACTAATTAACTTAAATAAATAAGTATGCCTCAAATGCAACATGACATCATTTTCAGTTCATTCAATTACTCATTTATCAATTGAATTAAATAATTAAACAATTCATAATGGCATTTAACAAAGCATCAAATACATTTTATACAGTCTTATGAGATGAATGCATATGCCATATTTTTTTTGCATTTTTGGAAAATCTTATGCACAATGGCAATTTGAAAATACATTAATCCAACAATTTCAATAAAATTTCAAAGTGGTAAATACGACTCAAGTAATCCTTAGGCTGGTGTCTGCAAGTAGGCATATCGAGTACTACCAAATCCTCACTTTACCGATCTCTCATCGGAATGGCAGTGGTACCTCATCCGTGCGTGTTTTCGGTCTTTCACCATGGACACTCAGGCCAACTTAAACCAACATCAAATTACACCCCCTATCAGGATTTACCGACATATTTACCCAAAACAAATTCAAATGATCTTGTTTCACAAAAACAATTCCTTTCTCAAAACAATAGTTTCCAATTGCAATTCGAAATCCATGATAATAATGAAATGGAATGGCAATGCAATATGTAACAATGTATTAAAATAGTACCAATTTCAATTCTACCACACAATGGTCTATTGTGATCAATTTCCATATCTCTATCAATGTAATACCATGATACAATCCCAAGAGATAATATAATAATGTCAATGTTCATGTATTTACCACATGTAAATCAACAACTTCCAACTTAGGCTTTTCAAGACAATTTAACAATATTCTTTATACACAACAAAACTTCCAATATCAAACATTTTCTTATCTTTCCAAGAATCTCATTTAAATACCAACATGGTAATCCTCTGCCGGTTACCAAAACCAAAACTTCTAAACAATAGGTTCATCAATAGCAATAACATATGACACCAAAGCGGGTTCAAGCTTTCATCAATTTCTAACTCACATACTTTATCAATGAAATGCAATTACAATCTTTCTAAAACTTATTCCCATCAAATATTAAATAGAATCAAATTCCCATTTTTCTCATGCAAGTGAAATATCGGAATCTTCAAGTTTAATCATAACTCTCACTAAGCATAAGTAAATATTCCAACACTTAATTAATTACATCAAAATCTCCTCTTGACTATAATTATAAAATATAACATGAGTGCTCACTTTCCAATTATCAACATTAACCCATCAAATTAAACCAAGGGAAAATAAATAAATAAATAAATAAATAAAAATTTTAATAACTCATTTTTGTTTTAATCCAATTCATCTATTTGCTCCAAACAAGCTAAAATCACATTCTTTTCTTTTATTTTCAAAGACCGCCAAAACCGTTCAAATATCTCCTAAAAATTTTGAAGTATGAAATTATTATTATAACATTACACAACTAGTATAACTAGGAACCCAATACCATACCACATCAACTTAATCTCGTTTATTTCTCCAAATCTCATACTTGGCCAATTTCGTCACTTTTAATCTCATAATATTAAAGTTATGAATTAAACCCAACAACACCTCTTTAATTACGAAAGATTTAAAATATTAACCAAACTAATTTAATTCATCAAATTAGTAAGTCCATTATTTTCACCATCTTCCAAATTAATAACGTCCAACTTAACCTCACATGTCTCATCTCTCAAATACACCCACATTCATGCATAGCCAATTTTTCCTAAATCTTTACAAATAACAATTTCACAATTTTTTCTAAAATTACCTAATCAACATGATATTTACCTCAAAAATTATAAAATATGTCAAAAAGTAACATTTTCAAGGTTGTGAGTTCAAAAGTCCACATTTCACATTTTCATTTTCACAAAAATGAACACAACCTAATCATCAACATATTATTTTGCATAAAATATCATGACTATAACACTTTTAGAGTTTTTAATCCCAAAACAACTCTATAATCCCAACTCAATAATTTACACAATATTCCTCAATACCAATTTATTTTTAAATTCCAAAACTCAAAGATGAGATAAATATTTCAACATTATTTTCTCAAAATAAATTATCTAACCATAATATGAAGTAGATACAACCCATACAACTATAAATTTTATTTTAGTTTTTTTAACAAAATTATCAACATAAGATGATTTTCCTAAATCAAGTTTCAAATATCAATATCCTTAAAACTTGCGAAGATCGCGACGAGCTCTCCGACTTTCATTTATAACACTTTTGCAAAATCTTACTCTAAAGACTCCCATTTTAAGCTAGATTGAGCAACAATGGAGGAAGAAAAAGAGAGAGAAACGATCAGAGATGGAGAAAGAGAGACATTGAGAGAGAGAGAGAGAGAGAGAGAGAGGTGCCTCTGCAAATGCAAGCCAAAAAAAAAAAAAAGGAAAAGGAGGACAAAAGGGAGGCTGCCCTACGTGGGTTGCCTTCCCAAGGGTTAGTTTTTTTAGAAAAAAATATAATACAATTTTTAATAATAGTATCTTTAAATTTTATAATATAAATTATAAAATGATATAATTTTTACCACAAAATATAATGTAAAGACCCAAAAAAAATAATAAAATAAAAAAAAATGTGGTGGTGATTGTTTGGCATGTATGGTCAGCATGAGGATAATGTTTTGGGGTGGTGGAAAATTATTTGAGAGGGAGGCTAAGAAAATTTGAGTGGGAAGCGTTTTTATAATATATCACATTGGGAGAGTGGTTAGATTCCAGCTGGGACTTGCTCACTTTCGCTGGGAAAATATTTAAAAAACAAAAAAAAAAAGAGATTGTAGAGAAAAGGTGGTGTAAATATGGCAATGGCTCCTGCTCTTTCATCTTCATCTTCATCTTCAGCTTTTTTCTTTTCCTCATCCACAACTTGGAGAGGCCTAGTTGGACCTGAAATATCCAAACAACTCCTAAATCTCAGCAGAATTGCGGCGATGCGTCCTAGTGGTCATGGTTGGGGGTCCCACAAAGTCACCAAAATTTCTGCATTGATATCATCTAAGCCCAAGGAAGAGCTACGCACCAAGCCCGATGAGCTAGTCAACTCCATTCTTTCCATAGTTACACAAATAGATAGAGGAGTTTTGCTGACAAGGGATGAACACAACAAGGTAGCTGAAATGGCCCAAGAATTGGGAAGATTTTGTGTTGATGAGCCTGTAAAATGCCCTCTTATATTTGGAGAGTGGGATGTGGTGTATTGTTTTGTGTCTACATCACCTGGTGTCACGCCCCACTTTTTATTACTCAAAGTATTACCAATTTCATTTACTTAATTCCATTTCAGAGATAACATGCGGAAATAAACTCGTATATTCAACTTGTAGAAGTGAATAACATTGCTCTCATTCGTATGCAAGTAAATACAACATGAGTACACTAAATAAATTGCCCTTGGGCTTACATCATTAAAAGTCAAGAAGAAGGGTATAACCCTTTTTACATAAATGGCATTCCGCCAACACAAAAGAGGCCCCGTGGCCAACAAATAAGAAGATCCAACCTTGTAGAACATCCTGGCTATCACTTGAAAAAGATTCAACAACGTGGGATAAACATATAGTCCAGTAGGGATCTCAACATGATCTCCAACAATAACAACTTACAGATAGCTATGATCATGAATGTTCATTCTCATACTAGAATAGTAATGTGGCAGTTTATACAAAATATACATAAGTATGAACTTTTCGAAAACAGCCATTTCATTCGACGCTATAAGCGGTTCACCTTTTTTTCCTTTTTATTACCCATTTTCCAAACTTTCATGACTATAACAGTTTTAGAAAAAAAACAATTTCACCAAGCCCATTACTCTTCCCCCATTTTCCGTACTTACAACAAAATGACCTTCTTTGAAAACATGTTCACAAATACCCCATTTTCCTTCACACTTTCCAAAATCTCAAAATGGCATTGTGG